TCTTTGGAACATGTTCGAAATTCACCGTTTTACGTTCGCTTACAAAATGTTCAGCCTCTCCTGCTTCACTAATAGCGTTTTCTTTTCTCGAAAAAAGGCTGCACTTATTCTATGTTATGTTAGCGCTGTCACATTTTCATGTTCTTTTCTCAGCCCTTTCACAAGGCGTCGTGTTCTTTTCTCAGCAGGTTGCGCTCTGATCCGGCGAAAGTTCTGCGTTTTCTGCCCTCCAATAAACGTGAGGGTGAGAGTTGCATGGTTGATTTTTAATTTAATCTTGTAAAAATGCAATTATTTTCCCTTTTTTTGCTTTAAAATTGTTAAAGACTTACAGGTCAAGTGAATAATTCAGCTTTGTTAAGTTCTATAAATAAATTGTGATGGAGTAGTATATTTTCTGTTTCATTCTCATATAAATAACGCAACATTTTCTCAGGTTTCAGGGCAACACAAAGCAAGAGTTCCCATATAAAAGGGCAGAACTTTTTTTGAGAAAACAAAACGCTATAAGTAATTGCTCATAAGACGAAACCTTTTGCCGGCTACTCTCTCACGTATTTACGCGTGCAACATACCAAACAGCATATCTAGTTGTTCTGCTTCGGCAGGAACATTCTGAAGCTGCGTAAAAAATGCTCGCTTCTTCCTAATGACGGTGTCCGTAGACTCGTTCTTATTTTGTTTTATTTCAAAAATTTCAGAATAAATGCGCCATGCTGGCTTTGGTGGTGAAAAGCTTTCGCGCGTACGACCACAGTATATACAGTAATAAACCTTTTCGCAGTTTTTCACCAATTAATCCCCGAGGAGTACTTTTGGGTTGTGTGCAACTGTGGGGAATTTCGCCTCATGATTAGAAAAAGTTCTTTTCGAGGATGAAATATATGAAATTATGTGTTATTTATGAACAAAATGTAGGTGAAGTATAATATCACTGCTAAACTAAGAATAATATCAATAGTTAAGTAGGTACATAATTAACGCTTGTGTTTCCATAAACTGGAAAACTCAAATCGTAATTATAGCACTGAATGGAGTTTTCCGAAATGTAGATTTAAAATTTAAGAAATCTCTATTGTAAGATTATATTTTTATGAAAAAAGTGAATTTTATGTTTTGCGAATTTATCAAGTAAAATTCTAAAATTCCGAATATATTTAAGTCTTAATTCCAAAAAAACGAGTTTTGTATAGTTATAGAGACTCCAATTGCTGCCAGCGCATCCGCCCAGACAGCTCATTAAGCACATTAATATCGACTTGATCAAAGTATAGAATATCACAATTATCAATCATACACACATACAATAGTAATTTCTTTGAATTGCTACTGTATAAATTCAAGACATGCGTTTGCTTGGAGACTCCGTTGGTTATGGTGGTCATAACTTCAGCCAGCACATTCAATGGTCCATTACCCGGAGCTGCTCCAACATGATGATGTATAGATTTAAATGAGTCTAACATGCCACTGACTCTGGCTACAAGCTGGATATGGAATTCACTACTCGGAAAAACTTCAAATAATGTGCTTTTTACGTAAATTTGGTTTAAGTACTAGCGTTTTCAGTATTTAACAGTTCATTACCATTTACGGTGTTATATAACCAGTTAAACACTGAACTATGATGATCTGTATTAGTATCTGTATTAATAGAGAATAATATCCAATTTTGCTTTTTTGTAATTAAATTCGGCCACTATTATATAGTCATGTCTTGTGCCACTCTGTCATAGCACGGTTGTGGCTCCATTTCATACCACAGTAATTTTGTATACAACTCTGAATCAACAAATTTCATGCTCCTTCTCATTATCAACCCTGATCACATTTTAACCCCGAGGAGTACTCAAAAAGGTTTATTACTGTATATACTGTGCGTACGACGTCGGCAAAATCAGCAAACTCATCCTTTAGACCACGCCACCAGTCTGCAGCATAACTCTCAAGCAACATTGGCATACCTTTAACCCTTAGACGGGCAAGAAAGAAATATCGGGTTTTTATTTTTAGGAATTTTTGTTTCAGGATAACTTTGTTACACTGAACTCATATTTGAAGGCCACTTGCACATTTTTAATTGTTGGGGCGCTGGGTTCAAAAAATTGATCACCGTCTGTAAACGGTCTTGCCTGTGTAAGGGTAAAAAATAAACGAGGTGTTTCATAGATATAAAATGAAAGGAAACAATTTTATTCAAGCAAAATTACTGATTAACACAGTTAAAAGTATTGTAATATTGATTTTGATTGATTTTTTTAAATATTTTTCTTTATGACGAGATGGTTTATTTTGTGAAAATCAACAATTTTTGTAATTGGTTTTTGAAAACTTATGTTGAGATATATTTAGTAAGGTGTTAAACATACGAGTTTTTGCAATAATTTAAATTTTATTGCAGATTCCGATTGAATACCTATACCGGTATAATATTTGTACGGAAGATGTTTCTTTAAGGCGGCAAACCCCTAGAAATGGGCGTGGCAATTGTATAACTAAACTTTGCAAACCGCAGATTTTATTGCGGATTTCAGCAGAATATCGCTTCGTTAACAACATTTGTACCACAACTTTCCTTAACTTTAAAACAAGTTAATAGCCCCGCTATCAAATTAACCTGCGAAGATGATTTAGTGCGCTTTCGCTAGCTATAAGATTTTGCTTTTATGTTCCTTCTGTTATGTATTCATTGTTGTAAAGTTGGCACATCTCAGTTTATGTTTGTTTGTTCTTAATCTTGCTATCCTTTATGTTTTATAGTTGCTTTTGTTTATACGCGTGAACTATCATGGTTGTACCCAGCAGCAAAANCGGTGCCCACAAGATATGGTAGCAATTGCTGTCCCAGCTTATTAGATTACTTTGCTGTATCTGATCCTTCTATTGTTTTGAAATTTGACCAAATATCTTTTATATCTGATCATGACTTGATATTTTGTTCTTTTGACGTTAAGCTTGATCACTATGACGACAATACCTATGTATTTGACTTCTTTGACTACCGTTCCTTAGATGTGGNCGTGAACTATCATGGTTGTACCCAGCAGCAAAACGGCTAACATTGACAATTGTAGTTGTGCAAAGGTGAACATTATGTGCGGTCAACAAACGGGTTTGAACATTGTTCATTTTAATGCGCGCAGCCTTAATTCTGACAAAAAATGGATATAGTAAGGAACACTTTTGAATTGTCTCCAGTCGATGTTATATGTGTATCTGAGACGTGGTTCAGGTACAATGTAAGCAGTGTCCATTATGATATTAATGATTATAAGTTGTTTCGTTCTGATAGGGTAGACAGAAAAGGTGGTGGAGTTGCTATTTACTGCAAAAAGCACCTAAAAACCAAACAGGTTTCGCAGTCACATTCAGAAAGAAGCTGCGTGGAGTACCTGTCTGTCGAAATGTCTAGCCCCTCGTCCAAAATCCTATTGTTTTGTGTGTATAATCCCTATTAGTATTTCAGCCTATGTGACTTTTTTAATTCTCTGTCCACTGTTTCTGTAGATTATGACCATAACATTCTTTGTGGTGATTTTAATGTGAACCTGTTATGTCCTGATTCTACCAGTGCTCGTTTAATAGATGACATCTCCTCTGTTGGGTTGTCTATGGTTAATTTGTCGGTGCCCACAAGATATGGCAGAAATTGCTGTCCCAGCTTATTAGATTACTTTGCTGTATCTGATCCTTCTATTGTTTTAAAATTTGACAAAATACACTGGTCGACGGCCAAAATTTACCAGAGACGCCGTTATGAAATTCTTATGTNATCTTTTATATCTGATCATGACTTGATATTTTGTTCTTTTGACGTTAAGCTTGATCACTATGACGACAATACCTATGTATTTAACTTCTTTGACTACCGTTCCTTAGATGTCAACAACCTTTTCAGTGGCCTGTTGCAGATCAATTGGTCCGATTGCTGGGGTCTCAGCACGGTCCATGAGAAGCTCCGTTTCCTGAACGAAAATATACTAAATTCGCTCCTCACTCATGTCCCTACCCGAACGCCCTACCCTAAAAAACGCAATAAATATTATAACATATGGAAAAGGAACCGGACAGATGAGAGCTGGAGTACTTTCAAAGCAATAAGGAATGAAGCTACCTCGGTTATAAGACGTGAAAAGAAAAAATTCTTTATAAATAAGCTGGATCCCTCACTACCTAATAATGTATTGTGGCGAAATCTGAGAACACTCCGCGTCCATGCCAGTGACAAATCAGAATGCTCGTTGAGTCCTGAAACGCTTAGCGTTGCCTTTGCTTCTCCGCCGTCATCTTGTCTCCTTACGTCCGATTCTGTAGCCCAGGACGCTCTTTTGCTGGCGAAAAGTTTGAGTTCATTGCTGTGAGCGAGATTGATGTGGTGAAATCTGTTTTTAAGATCAGGTCCAACGCAATCGGGGAGGATGGCATTCCGATTAGATTTGTGAAGGTAATCTTACCGATTATTTTGCCAACCTTGACACACATAATAAACCATAGTCTCACCACGTCCTGTTTTCCCGATGCCTGGAAGATTGCTACTGTGCCTCCTGTAGTCGAAAATAAATCCGCATCCAGCCCTAATGATTTCCGACCCATCAGCATACTACCAGAATTGTCTAAAGTTTTCGAATCTTTGTTATCTGAACAAATCTCTTCCCACCTCGGTAAATTCAACCTTATATCCCCATTTAAATCCGGATTCAGACCCCATCACAGCTGCTCTACTGCAATGGTAAAGATACTTGATGACATTAGAATACTGTTCGACAAGAACCACTTAACTCTACTATACTTTCTGGACTTCTCTAAAGCCTTTGATTCAGTTAGCCATGAACTACTGTGCTTTAGATTAAAAAAACTAATTTGGGTTTGGAGAGTCAGCAGTAAAACTGATGCGTAGCTATATGAAAGAGAGGTCTCAGCGTGTCAAAGTTGGATCTCAAATATCTGAACAAAGGCCTTTGTTCACGGGTGTCCCACAAGGGTCAATCTTAGGACCACTACTATTTAGTTTGTTCGTTAATGACGAATGATGGACGATGTCNCGCGCCTACTTGGCTGCGAAATTTCTGAATATCTTAAAGCTAGAAATTGCATATTCCTTTTTCGTCTCATGACAGATAAGGCGCCCAAATATCTATATGAAAAATTAACGTTCCCCTAATCCACTCGAGTAAAGGACTTGATTGTTCCTACCTACAATTGTCCCAGCTCTGCACGGCTATTCTTTGTCATTGCTATCCGCATCTGGAACTCTATACCATCACATATTCGCAGTAGTTTAAACAAAAGCAACTCTAAAAATGTTCTGTATGCGTATTTCCGTTAGCTTCACTTCAGTCCCTGTGATGTGCTCCCTATGTGCTTGTTTAATTAAGTCTTATTTTAAGTATATGTCCTGGAATTATAGAGCTCACTTAAAAATACTACTCTGTTAATTATATTATGTTACTTTTATTTAGTCTTAAGTAATTTTGGTGTTTTAGTTATATATATGTACTGTTATGAATTTTTTGTTGCGCTATAAAAGATCTTTCTTTTGATCTTATTGTGCCAATGATTTTATTAATAAATGAAATGAAAAATTAAAAACGAAATGAAAAATTACGTTAAGATGAAGTCTTTACGATCAGCAGAACCCGAGATATAAAGATTGGAAGAAGTACATGATTAGTCAGAATCACGAAAAAGGTAAACTTTGACAGATCATATCTCCGAAGAAAAAAAAAGACGAAAAAAATTCCTCGAACACGTATAGCTTATTTCGTGTACAGAACCCACAAAAAACATTTAAGCGAATCGGGGACACGACATATTTTTTTTACGAAATCCGTCCGACTTAAAAAAGAATGGCTCATATGTAAGTAAACATTTTTAGGTACCATTTTTAGCCACATCGACTTTTTTTTTAGCTCTTTTTTAGCCCTTTTTAAAGGAATTTGGCTACCACTAAAAATGTTTCGCGGCAACACTGATTGTATCGCGCATTACAGTTGCTAAACGTTCCCGTGCGATCGTTTGTGGTATGACAGCAGGCATCAAACGTTCAAACTGCTCCGTCGTAAATGACATAGCCAGTGTTGCCGTCGAGAATTTTCAGAAAGTCGCAAAAAAGGGCGACGAAGAAAAGGGTCACCAAATTATTTTTGCCCTTCTTTACTAGTAAAACAATAAATCTGTTTAATTTAAAAAGAAAATGGCGGGACAAGATTTGCAGAAAACAGGGTTGTACTCATAAATCTAGTTGATGTAAGGAGAAGAGTTGCATTTCCTATACACGTTTTAAGTGACGAATTTTTTCGAACTTACAGGAGGAAATATATTTTCATAGCATGGTTCTGTTAACATTTCTTAAAAATCTCTGAAAAGGGGCAAAAGTCGCATATAATTTTGGAAAAGGGTCAACAAATCTAAATTTTCAAAAAGTCGGGTCAAAGGGTATTGGCGCTTAAAAAGGGCCAAATTTCCCCTTTAGTCGCACAACGGCAACACTGCACACAGCCATAGTACTTCATAGACTTGTACTTCGTCGTTTAAAAATATCAGAAAAATTGGCCACTATGTTGGGCGCCACTTGTAGTATTTGATTTTATAAATAAATGTCTCTTTATTTCGATTTTGAAGGTTAAAGTACAGTATATTTTGCTTTGCTGCTTTTATGCTTAAGTGCACATTTAAGATACCTACCCCAAAATGAGCATCATCGGCATTCTTTTTAACATATATAAGGAAACTGCTCCGATAGATGCACTCAACATACCTGCACATTGCGGATACCTGTCTTAAAAATTATGCAACTAGTATCAATTATCAAAGAAAGTATTACGCTTACCTGCACTGGCTTTATTTATTTTGCTCATCTCGCAGAACAGCGAAAATGGCTATCAATTTATGTAGTTATATAGATAATTAGATACCATTCGTTAAAAATTTCGCTTGCTGTAATTTCTACGTGGCAAGTGCTCCTCCATTATTTGGTTTCATAGGGACTCGGATACCTTCCTCATTGAAGTAGTAAAAAAAATTCGCTTAAGTGCCTTTTTCGGTTAAGTGCACAAGTTTTTCGTGCAAAGAAGGATGGGCAGCTAAGCAAAAAAAAATGTAATAGTATTTGTGTTCACAATTTCTTTGTAAATTATCAGCAAAATTAAACAGTATTTGCGGTTAAGAGCAGCAGTACAAGCAAAAGTTGCAATGCAAAGACCAGCCACCGCTATTCATCTAGCATTGCATCCACCTTGTAAAAACGATACTGCTGTGTAATGCACTTAGAACGGCTAACTATCGCTCACCACGTTGCTTGCACACGCCTAGTGATAGGACGATACGAGTACAGAATATCGATACTTTTCATGAGTACTGAGTAGTATTTTTGACTTTTTGACAAGTACTGAGTAAATATCGTGAATGCCAAAAAGTATCGACCGCTTAAGAAGTTTTTTAAGTACTTTTTTTTTTTAAATTACCCAATAAATATTGTGGGGAACGTTCGAATATTGTCTTCGATATCCAATATGAATGTTGTGAAAATGAACATAACGCTCATTTACTTCAATAATGTCATGATAAAAAAAACCGAAAACTCGAGAAAAACGCCTTTAAAGTTTTAAAACACATACATATGTATACTCCCATAGTAATAACTAATCAGGGCCAAAAAGTTTAAGCTTTTGCTTGAAATAGCTTATTTTGCTTTATTCAGGGTTTCCAAGCTTAATTTTAACGATCACGCTTATTTCGCTTATTTCAGTGTATTAAGCTAAGTACAGACCTTTTAAGTAAATGGTCAGGAAATAAATTGCTATTATTTCGTGTGTGTCCAATCAGTTTTGACATCTAATACTCTACAGCCTGCTGTCACTTTTTCCTTACGAAATAATGGAACGGGCTTATATTTCTGTTGAAAACAAGGATGCCTTGTACTCTTCAGAAACAAACTTTAGCAAACCATAGTAAAAGCGTAGAAAATTTCTTAAGAACTTCGTACTGTTTAAGAAAATTTGGCTAAATAAATTTTTCTTGGATATTTCTTGGGCTTTTTTTATTCGTCAAACTAACGAAATATTTACAAATAATAAAATAAAAACAGCTTTAGTTTTTGTGTTGGTGTTGGTTGATTTTTCCGACAGGGTGGTAAGATGATTTATTTTGGAACGAATTTCCAACATCCCTTGTCAAGTTTGGTTTGCAGACAAACCGGTTTCGGCGTTGTGCCATCTTCAGTGTCATTTTTCGTTCTGTCTGGTTCGAGATTTGTCCCTAATTTATGTTCATTTATCTTAGGTAATGTGATTTTCGTCGATGATTAATTACTAGATATGCCATGGTGCCCATTTTTTTTGAAGCAGGTAATAGGTTCATCTTCGCTGTTTCGATATTAACATCCATTATGTTGTCGCTGTATGGTTTTTGCCTGCAGGTAGGTAAAAGTCAGTGATTTTTGCCCTGGTGGTGCTTTTTGGTGTGTTCGGAGTGTCCATGCCTGTTGTTTTGTTGTCATTTTTCTTTTTTTCGTAAATCAATTTTAAGGGTTCGAATATAACATCCGATGCGGTATTTGTTTGTTCGTTTATTATTTTGCCGTCGAAGGTTTTTAGTTTGTATATTTCCATATTTTCTAGGACGTTTAGTCGTTGGCCTTTATGTTGTACATGCAGTAGTTTCGCTGCCTTTCTTATTTGCGTTGGTGAACATTTGTTGTTAAACATGTGGTTAGCAAAATTTGACTCTGGTATTGCGCTCGGTTTCTGTGTCTTTTTGTTATAGTCTCTTATATGCTCGCGGAATCTTGTTTTTATTTTACGTCCTGTTTGACCTATGTAACTATGCTGGCATTTGCAAGTTAGTTTATAGACTCCTTGTTTATCCAATGGATCTTCTTGATTTGTGGTGTTCCGTAGTATCCGTCCCACGTTGTTATTTGTTCTGAATGATGTGCGAAGGTTGTGTTTCTGGAACAGCTTTGCAAGTTTGTACGTTGACTTTCCAGTATAGGTTAATACCGCCCAATTTTTGTTATTGTTTTCTTCTTTGTTTGGCTTTTTGTTTTTGTGTTCCCTTCGGATTTCTTCTACCAGATCTCTTTTGTATCCGTTATTAGCCGCTATGGCATATATTGCGTTCAGTTCTTTGTTGTATCCTTCTTTTGTTAGTGGTATTCGCTCAATTCTATTGATCATCTGTCTAAAGGCGGCTTTTTTATGCTGATGAGGATGGTTCGATGTATTATGTATTATTGTATCTGTGGCTGTGGGCTTCCTAAAAATTTCATATTGCAGACTGCTGGTGCTTTTATTTATTTTTATCGTCAGATCTAAGTAATTTAGCTTTCCTTGCATTTCTTGTTCCATTGTGAATTTTATATTGCTGTGCTGTTTGTTGAGGTATTCCAATATCTGTCCTTCATTTTTCTTTGTTATAAGACATATGATGTCATCTACGTATCTGGCGTAGAACGTCGCTCCTAGTTGTGATGTAAGATACTCCACGTACCTTTCTTCCAAATTCTGCATGAATACCTCCATAAGGATCGCCGATGTGGGGTTGCCCATGCCTAGCCCGTTTGTTTGCATGTATATGTTGTTGTTAAATTTGAAGTAATTTTGATGCAACGTCGTTCTGAGTGTATTAGTTATCTCTACGGCGATTTCTCTGTTTCCTGTTTTTTCAATCAGTATTTTGAATACGATATCTATTGTTTCCGTTATTGGTATCGATGGGTATAGATCTTTTATGTCGAATGATACCAGTTTAGTATCCATCGTGATCGCTGAGTCTTTTATTTTTTCAATCAATTCCGTTGTATTAGATATTGTGTACTTATTGGGCAATCCAAGGTTGTCCTTTAGTATAGTTTTTAAGTGTTTTGATAGTTTATAGCTTGGGGCCGATCTGTGGTTTATGATTGGTCTCATGGGTGTGCCAAGTTTGTGGATTTTAGGTAGTGCATTCATCGGAGGAGCTGATGGATTCATGATTGTCAATGTATGTATTTGGTTCGGCTTTATTATTTTTGTAGCTTTATTTATCGTATCTTTTATTGTGGCCTGGTTTTCCTCAGTGGGATCCTTTGCTAACTTCTTACATCTAGTTTCTTTGATAAGCTGTTCCGTTTTTTGTATGTATTCATCTCTATTCATTAGTACAGTTGTGTTTCCTTTGTCAGCTTTGGTCGTGATTACGTTGTTGTTTTTTAGTTTCTGCTTCAGACCTTTAATTATATTGCTTTCTTTGCTGTGGTTTTTGTTTCCTTTGGCTTTGATTTCCTTTTCAAATAACTGTTTGCACCTGTGTCTAGTGTGTTCCTGTTCCTCTTTCGGCAGCATAGATATAGCTATTTCCGCATCTACAATTGTCTGCTCAATTTCCTTTTCCTTATTGTAATTCTGGATATTATGTTTGAGCCCTTTTTCTAAAACTCGCGATTCTTCTTTGTTGATGAGAACTTCTGTAAGGTTTACGAACCTGGCATGGAATTCGGGTTTCTCTCTCTGTTTTTTGTTCACTCCTTCTTGACTCGTTTGTAACTTTTCTAGTTTTCCTTTCAATTTCTTGTACTTTTCTTTCATGGCTTTCCTTATGCGCGTTTTCATTTGATCAAAAAGCTCCATTAAGCAGTCGATTGGTATGCGCTCCGCTAACTCTAAATGAATTGATAGCAACTCTTCGTTTGTTTGCTCCTTTTTGGCGTAAAGACTCTTCAATTCGTATGTTAAGTATATTCTCTCTGCCTTCTTAATTGTTTTCCTGCATACCTCTGTATTCGATCTGAGCTTCATTTGGGCAAACTTTGGTGTGACATTCAATCCGAGACATTGTTCATTAAACCATATATTAGCCTTTGTGTTGTGTATTTTTAGTAGACGTCGTTCGTATGTGGTCAAAAGTATGTTGGTTCTGAGATAATAAGCCTGACTAGCCTTATTTGTGTGTTGGTGTTGGTTGATTTTTCCGACAGGGTGGTAAGATGATTTATTTTGGAACGAATTTCCGTCATCCCTTGTCAAGTTTGGTTTGCAGACAAACCGGTTTCGGCGTTGTGCCATCTTCAGTGTCATTTTTCGTTCTGTCTGGTTCGAGATTTGTCCCTTTTTAGTTTTTATTAACCCGTAACTTCAATTGCATTTCCGCTTGGATACAAAAATTTTTAAACCAATGGCTCGTCTCTACAAGAAATCTTTGGTATTATTGAAGAGATTTACATAATTTATCTCAAATGCTGAATAAAGAATATTTAAAAAAATGGAATCAACCAACGCAGATCTTCATTATTTGAGAATATCAAGCAACACTTGTACGTCCAATACGTTTTTCAACTTAAGTTTTTTTGTTTTGCGAGCATATTTGCAAGCATATTTATCAGTTTTAGTGCTTATCTAAGCGCTTAATACATATTTTGTGCGAGTGAGCTACTGGTAATTGACACAGTTATGAAATTTTTACACAACCTAGAAGAAAACGTAGCGGTCATTTCAACATAGGGTTCGGTTAAAATCTTTTAAATAATTGGAAACGAATCTCTTGCCTCACCTTCGATAATGAATGGTGGAAGAGGATGGTGTTCCGATTCGACAACTTGCCCACTCCCCAGCATAAGGCAGCCGTCGTTAACCCATGTATTCTACCTTCGTTGTGAAATCGAAATCCAGCCCATTCTTGAAGAAAATTTGTATGAAAGAGAGCTTATCGTCACTAGACACGAATAAAGACGGGAGCTCAAAGTTGACCGCGAAAAAAGATGCATAAAAAAACTTCAGCGAAGAAAGACTCTTAACATAGTTGACGGCGAAGAAAGACGGGTTAAAATATTTGACGGCGAAGAAGGACGCGTAAACTTATTTTCCCGCTCAACTATGTTTGTCGGTGTAACAGTATGTGAATTCCCTAAAGATATTTGGGGAATGATGCTAAAGTGACAGTCCAAGTGTAAATCTATGATTACGCGTCTTTCTTTGCCGTCAAGGTTATACCATGTTGTGACCGACATCGGAAACATGTTTTCGTTGCTAAAACTGGTTTTCGACCTAAAACTAGGGATACAAATTTTGGGGAGTAACGTCGATACATCGGTAAATTAATATCGATGCTAAAATACATCGCCAGAAAAACATCGATATATCGATGGTTTCCGATGTTTAAAAATTTGTTAGGTTGTAGGCACATTAAAAGTAAAATTTAATACTTTTCATGTCCAACTCAACCAAATTCAATTAGAAAAATACTTACATATGGATGTATTTCCCTTTATTTATTTACCATTCCTTTACCCTCCCTATAAACAGAACAAAAATTAATGCCGTCGTTAGTTCGCTGAGCCTAAAGCTGTCTTTACATGAGGAGATTTTTTGACAGGCGATAATCGCCTGCAAAACTTGACTTGCTGTCTACTTTGAGGCACCATGAGTCACACGAGCGACTTTTCCGGAGCAATGTTGAATCGCCTAGAAAATAGCCTCATGTAAATCCAGCTTAAAGTTCCAAGGCCCGATTTATTTGAAATTTCAACGGGATCCTGGTCCTTTTTTAATGACTAAGTAAGCATTTTTAATATCGGAAGATAAGATTATTTAAACTCGGAATTTCTGAATGTTCCTTAAAAGAATAAGTAATAAAATGCATGGCCGGTCAAACAATTTTAGGAGCATAAACCGATGTTAAAACATCGCTAAAACTAGCATCGATGTATCGTCAATTTAGCGATTTTGGGAAATTGTAAACACCGATGGCAAACATCAAATTTTGAACTGATATTATCGATGTTTTAAAAATATCGATGCATCGTTTGAATCCCTACCTAAAACTTGTGTTTTCGTCCATGTAAAATCTGTCAAACGAAAACCAGTTTTCGCTGAAAACTACTTGAAAACTCACGTTCCTCTAATTCCAATCGGTGTCTTCACTAGTTTTTTTTCGATTATTTATCGAAGTGGAAGTCATACTTTATCATCTTTAATGCGCCATTTCGGATTTATTGTTAATTGGTTGGCCTAAGTAAAATAAGGATGAAAATAAGAGGTTGTAAATGAAAAGAAATTGAAGGAAAAGTATTTTGGTTTGGTTTTTGTGTAGCAAAACTGTAATCAAAAGATATAAGAAATGTCAACGTAAACACTAACAGCCGGTGCGAACAGCCTTCAGCCCAAAATCCCAAAACTCGTTTTGAAAGTGTTTTCGTTGTCGGTAAGAACATCGTATTACGCGTCTTTCCTAAGCGTATTTTTTCGTAAAATTTTTTTACGCGCCTTTTTTCGCCGTCGAAGCACTAGCGCGCCTTTATTTGTGTCTAGTGGTTATCTTTCCGTTAGAGAATGGGCTTCACCACATTTCTTTCTCGTTTTCTAAATTTGCATTTAATTTTTAAAGTAAAGTTATTTATTAATATAAGCGCCAAACAATTATAAAATTTGTGTTTAAGAACTTGAAATAAGCTTTTTGTTCTTAACATTTAATTTACGCATGTAAAACTAAACTTATTGGAAGTTCATTTCATAAACTCCCTTAGATCAGAAAAGTAGTGTTTATTCAATTTACAAATACGAAGAGGTCAAAAAGCAAAGCAATCTGATTTTTGTTTCCTTTTTGCGTTTGTTTTGAGAACACTTGGAAGTACGAGTATTATCGATCCTTTTTTGCAAATATGAGTACTGGAATCGATATTTTTAGAGTATTCTATATGAGTACTAGTATCGATACTTTTTTAAAAAGTTCTATCACTACAACGCGCACGCCACGTAGTAGGTCTGCATACTCCTGTAGCTCGTTTCTGTAAGAGTTCTCTACCAAGGCAAATTGAGATATGAGTTCGCCACCCTGTTCTCTACTGCTAATGAGTAGTAGAGAATGACGTATATTCTCTACCAGTAGAGAAATAATCGGTAGAGAAGAGTTACAAAAACGAGCTACTGATCGCCAAACACTAATGAACGAGTTTCTGCTAAGTGTTTGGTTTTACAGCATTTCACCATGGTTCAATTGAATCATGCGTTACGCTCTTGCCTGTATACCAATGGTCGGACCCACGGTTGCCATTTCCAATTTATTTTTCGGACCAAAAAATTTACCAAATGGTAAAAAATTTACCAATTTTGATTACATGGGGCAATTGATTGGAGGGTATTCCTCTTTATCAAGAAAGAATGCCAATTCAGATTTTATAACGATTTTTTTTATATTGCATCCAAAGTTAGAGCTGCCAGATATCTCTGTTGCCAAACCGGGACACTTAAGGGGGGGAGAGGCCTCTCGCTCCCTTCCCTTTCGTTCCGACAAAAATTACGTACGAAAGGATGTAGTAAAATTTTATTTTGACAAACAAAAACAAAAACATAAAAACATGAGATCATGAGATCATTACAACGTACACCAGCAAAACAAAACAATTTATCACAACTAAAGCACAGAGAATTTTTCACAATGCATGTACCTTTTTTGTTCCTTATAAAAATACACACACATACAATACATGAGAAAACATAAAAATTAAATTTCTAAACTTTGTGCAAACCTGGGGAAAATGCAATAAATTTGCATACAAATTCGCAACTTTCTATTTAGAGTTTTTTATAAAAATTTTGAAAATGAAGTTTTGCAGCCCATAAAAATTTAGTTGATTTTTGGTATTGTTTTTACAGAGTTCTTTCCATACAAACTATGTTCGACATTTTTTTGTATGTGGAAGACACTGTCAGCAAAAAATAAATCCATAATTGGAAAAAATTGGCTCAAAAGCTACATTTTCAAAATTTTTCTAAAAGATCTGATTAGAAATTGGGATCAGATGAAGGAGTGTCCGAGCCAATTATTTTGTACGGCACGGTACTAGGTTTCACGGAAAGAAAAAAAATTAAATACAAGGTAACATTAAAATATCAGTCATTTGTTTCGTTGCTGTGAACTTGTTTCAAAACTTCTGGCTTTTGCTTAATATAGGCTGACTTCCAAAACGTCAATTGCTTTGCATACGTACAAAGTATAAGTTCCATAACGTCGAACTACAAAATATTGACAATGTATACTGCTCCAAAACGCAACCGAAAAGTTATCGAAACGCATCGCTGGAGCAATCAGCGCATCAGAAATAAAGTTGATGCTTCGTTTGTTATTGGTTAGCATTGGTGTTTTAGAAATGGAAAATTCAGAAAAATTGTTCATTGCTATATTGAATATTTAAAATATGCAATGTATATGGTTGCAATGTGTCGCAACTCTGCATATACAAACAGTTTGAATACCGCAGTATAACAGTTTCCAAACATTGTATTGATACGTTTTGGAAGTCAGCCATAATTGTAAAACTCTGTGCATGTCATTTTAACGTATTTAGGTAATTATATTAATCATAAACTATTGCTTGTGCAAAACGTGCTAAGTTTAAAAAAATTCCCATATGAAAAAGCACCAACCCAACTCGTAATACATTTAAGTATACAAATTTTAGTATTTAGTATAGAAATATTCAATTCAAATACGCCAATATTAAAATGGAGCGCTTTGCACTAAACGGATGCTTTTTCGTTATTAAGTTAAAAAAAAAAATATTTAAATTCCATGCTCCCCGTAATGGGATTTGAACCGTGACGCTCTGGAAATTAGTAAATTGTGGCAAGCATCTTCGTGCACTCAGCTACAGCCTGACATGTAAATGTGCATTCAAATGCTCAGTTTGATTCAACACCACGTATGCGTGGTATGAAAGTATTGTTTTTAAATACGAACATTTTAAGACGATAATCAAATAAAAAATAAATATTCATGTTTACTATGCGTTATTTCCCCCAGT